AGAATGTCACTAGGGGCTTTGAGGTTTTCAAAAAGACCTGCACCTCCTCACCATTTCAAGTTTGCTCTGTTTCCTGGGAGGTGGCTCTCAGCTGCTGCTCTAGCAGCCTGTTGCCACCTACCTCTGCTCTGTAATTGTGGATTACTGTCCCTCTGGGACTGTAAGTCAAATAAAACTTTCTTCTACAAGTTGTGTTACTCAATATCTTATCACAACAATTGAAAAGTAGCTAATTTCCCCAAAATATCTGCCTTATAAGAAAGGTACAAAGACCATGCTTGGGGATGAACAGTTGTAATCTGGGCACTCTGACAGCTAAGGCAGGGGTATAGCTGCAAGTTCAATCACAATCCCAGCCTGGTCTATACTGAAGCTCCTGGACAGCCAGAGCTACATAATGGTCTCTATCTAAAAAAAAAAAGGTATAAGGCAGCCAGGTGTGGTAGTGCAGGCCTATAATCTCAGCACTCAGAAGGCTCAGGCAGGAGGACTGCAGGTCAGGGCTACATAGGGAGTTCCAAGAATGCCTAGGTATAATGTAAGCCCCTATCTGATTAACTTAAGAGTTTGTTGGGGAGAACGGAAAAACAAGTGGGGTGGGTGACCGGACTCCTGTAAGAGGGTCTCTGGCCTCCTTACGCTGTGTGTGTGTGACAGAGAGAGAGAGAGAGAGTGTTGCAAAAGTAAAATGTCATTTTAACTGTGTCCTTTTCTTACTATACAGCTGTAGCTGGCTTGGAGCTGTCTACATAGACTAGGCTGGCCTAGAACTCACAGAGAGCTGCTTCTCTGTGTGCTAGGCAGGTGTGCACTATCACACATGGCAGAAGAAGAAAGAAGAAAGAAAAAGAAAGATGAAGGAAGAAAAGGAGGAAGAAGAGGAGGAAGAGGAAGAACGTTTGGAGAAAAGTACCGTAGGAACATTGCACCTACTTTTAGAGCTACTTCCGCAGGGTCTCTCAGGACACCCCATTCCTGGCCACATTTTCCTCACGCTTGTGTCCCAGTCTCCCCTCTCCAACATTTCCCTATATGCAGTTATGCTTAAGGACATCTTAAAAAGATAAAATCCCTCACCCAGGACCCCAGTCACTACCATGTCTTCCTTTAGAAACCTCTGAGAAATGTCGACTCTACTCCACGTCTCCATTTCGAGATCCTTTCAGTCCCTTTCAAGCAGCTGCAGGGAGGTCACCATCATCACCCTCTCTCACTAAAATCACCAAAGACCCCTTCTCCAAATCCAGAGGGCTACCTGACCTCTTGACAGCATTCACCACAGGTGACAACTCTCTCAAAATGAATGAACAATTTTCCTCTCGGATATAGTCAACTGAAGAACTTATCCCTGATATATTCAATAAAATGGAACATAATATTAATCAAACCATCAAATTAGTGGACAGGAAACTGTCCTGACAGATGCAGTAGAAGGGAACTGAGACCACTATCTTCAAATGGAAGAGGACACACGAATGAGGCTAACTGAATCCAACATATTCTGATGAACTCCTGATAGCCTTGCACGTGCTTTATGGTTGTTTGTGATCCGTGTTCATAGGTGAACACGCGCCTTTATCCATTGAGCCATCTTACTGGCCCCTGTCTACTTTTCTATAAGTCAAATCATATTACACAGTATTTCTTGCACACACTATTATGTCATGAGCACTGTCCCATGTCAGTACATAATAGTGATAGGAAGCAGTTTCATAATGCACACTGCGCTTACTTAGAATACAGACACTAACTTATTTAGTGCTCACAATCGTCCCGTGAGGCAAGGACTATCATTCTATCCACCTTACAGATGAATTTAAGTCACTAACAGCCACAGCTGGTACCAAGTATAGTTAGGATGTGAACCTGTAAGAACTGCTGCCTACTCCATGTGCTGAGGGACACGCTCAGCTGCTTCTCACAAAGTAAATATAGATCCCTAAAGCCTGCTAACAACTGTGAACTATCTCACAGCATAAATATACCATGATTTTAACTATTCCCTTACCAACAGACATTTTGAACGTTTTTAATATGTATGCTTCCTTTTTTTTGTAATTATGATAAATGAATATTCTTTATTTATAGTTGGGCTCTTGTGTCAAAATTTATGTAACATAAAACTCACAAACATTAAATGATTTTATCAAATAGTACATGTACTTTATTTAAATTTTGATAGGCAATGCCAAATTTCATCCTAGAAAGTTGTTCTACTTAAACTAAATTTATAGTCTAATATTTTTAAGTTAACATGAAAACTGAAATCCGCTTTGAATTTGTAATTAATGCTAACCAGTCATAATTGCCCAGTTAATCATAATTGCCTTCTGATTTGACAATTATCTGACACATAAAACAAATGTAAGCCTAGAGCTGCTTAGTGGATCCTTCTCAAGCTATGATGCTGGCTTTCTAACATACACAACATGGAGACTGGACTCCAATATTCTCAACACCCAGTCCTGTGATTAAGAAGGACCTAAATGTATTACTAGTCTGTAATTCTAGTACAGCAGGTTAGGGTCCTAAAGCTTCCATCTTCTTTACAGCTACAGCAGAGCACCTGGGCGACTCATTAAGCTCAGCAGCGCTTTAGGACCACCTGTGGCTTTTCTCAGTGGCTTTTAAATCCCAGGCTGTCATTCCCCTGATACCCAGTAATTTTGAACAGATATTTGGAGCACATGTCTAAGAAAAGCTAAAATGTGCCTATGAACTAAGAACCAGTTTTCTGTTTTGATTTTAAAGTATTACCCTAGGACTGAGATGAACTTAACTATTATTCATTGATTGTTTTAGTATATGCTAGAAACTGAGTGCACTGTAACAAATAGAAGACCTCTGCCAGAACAGAGCTTGGAGGCCAGATGAGAAATAAATAATAACCCAAAATACTCAAAGGTAAATGTGAAGTTCCGCTGAGGAATACCAATGATCGACGACAACAGAATCAATGCAGAGAGATACTGCAGTCTTTCCTTTAACTATGCGCAACACTAAAAATTGTGTGACAGAGGGGGAAAGTCAATAAGGAAAACTATTTTGCAATTTGACCCACACAGCACAAATAACAATCACAACTACATAGAGCAGTGATCCATTATAATAATTTATGACTTACTAATAATTAATAAAATTTTATGAAAATACTAATGCCTTTAAAGACCAGAAATCACCATAAGGAACAAGTGTCATGTGCAAAGGAAGAATATTTTTAAAATATTTTGAAATAATAACAAATGGCAAAAGTATCTAAAGCTAATATTTAATTTAAAATATAGCTAATTCCAGAATATCTACAGAATAAAAACAGCAGTCACATAAATTAATGGCTTTGTATGTCCATTTCCATAACTACAAAATAAAGATCATTGTCTCCCTTGCTCACAAGAATACATGAAGACTAATTCATGGATATGGAAGTACACCCATCCCCCCGCCCCCAAAAAGTCAGTTATTTCATACAACTTCTCTTTTGCCCTCACTTTAAGCTATAGAAGTTTAACAAACTGAAGTAGTTATATAAGGACTTCACTTCCTTTCTTGTGCTCCTATATAGTGTGTTAAAAATGGATTTTAAAAAATGACAATCAGAAGAAAAATTTTAAAACTTTAATTCATAAATGTATTAACACCATAAAAGGTTGATTCTATAGTATTGATGGTCTTAAATAATACTATATACCAATACACGTCAGAAAAAAGTCTTTCATATATACAAAATTGTTTACAAACATTACTATCACTATAAGCACAAAGTTCTGCTATGATAAGACAAGATACACATTTATCCACATATACAATGTATTCTAGCATGACCTTTATATTCTGATTAAGGTGTACTAAGTTGAATGCAATAACAGTTCAAATTTGTTGCATTTAATACTTTGTCAATTTAGTATACAAAAACTCTTACACTTTCATGGGCATGAAGTAACTTTCAGTACAGGTCTAAGAGTCTTCCAAAGTCACAATCCCATGTTACTAGCAGCACACTGACTTTTTTAAAAAGCAATATTTTAAATTGAGAAAGTTTTTAAATGGAAAGTAGTTTGCAGTATTTTATCATTGTGTCTTCAAAAATCCCCAGGTGCTAATAGTAGGTTGGTCTAGGATGGACTTTCCTTTTAAATCTTGAAAATACAAGCTAAGAGAGCAGGTTAACATGGCAACGCTAACGACTTCTCCAAATTCAAAACAAGGACCACCAGCAAAACAATTAAGTAGAGTACATGGATACCGACCACTATTCCTAACGACCCATTTTTCCCCAAATGAAACATTTGTTACAACATCAAAAATCCATTTTAAAAATCTATACCTATTTGCAACTTCCTAGCTTGAAAACTAAAATCCAGGCAAATTTCTGCTTTTATCTGTGACATTAGCTAAATATGATTTAGCATTATTAGTCTGAATTTAAGAGAGGGGGGAGGGGAGAGTGACAACTTCCAACGTGTAAGGCTTGTTAAATGTCACCCCCTCCCCGCCCAATCATGTGTGAATAAGCCGGTAGACTCCATTCAACAACTGCTGGACTGGAGGTGATCAAAGTTTTCCCCATACTGCACTTTGAGAATATTACACCCAGGAAAAGGAACAGAAACTGTTCCTGACACTGGAGCTAGTGCCCCGGAATTTCCCAAAATATGCTCGATCTCCAAACGAAGAAGGGACACTTCGGAGACCAAAGGTGAGAGGCGACTTAACTCTATGCAGACAAGAGGAAGGGCGAGGGTGCTGAGGGCGACACTGGCAGGCAGGTAAGCAAAGACATCTGGTCTTCAGTGGGCACCAGTAGGTCCGGGAGCCCAGGTCTCAGGAAGACCCTCCAGGAAAAGTCTCGGGACCCAAGGAGGGTCCCCAGGGGGACGTCAGGCAGTGCCAGGGGGGCCCGCCCCGCCTCTCTGGCCACCTCGGGGACCTGGGACCGCGGACAGAGACATCCGAGGCGGAGGAGGCGTCCGCAGGCTCCGCCAGGTCTCCCCGCAGCTCACCTGAGAGTGTCGCCTCCGCCCTCGGCTCCCACGGTGCATCCCGCGGGGCCTGGCGGAGGGTGCAGGGACGCCGCCCCGACCGGCCCCAGGGCTGCCCGGCCTGGCCTCCCGGCTCCGGGGACGCACCGGGTGCCCGCCTCGCCCCGGCTCCCAGGATCTGCCGGGCGGCAGGGAAGGAAGGAGAGGCGCAGAGGCGGCCTCCTCTGCCCCTCCGCGAGCTCCCTCCCGAGCTGCGGCTCTCCGCAGTCCTCTCAGGCGCAGGTCCGGCCCCGCTCCCCCGCCCGGGAGTCACTTCGGCAGCGGCGGCCCAGTCGCCATTACAGCTCAACAACTGACACGGAGGAGGAGCGGCGCCGGCGGCAGTGGCGGTGGCGGCGGCGCGAGGCAGGGCGGGAGCAGTCGGGGAGGGAGAGGGCGGAGAGTTGGGGGGGGGGAAGACTCTCCAAACCTCGCGAGAACTGTCCGGAGACGGTTCCGCAGGAATGCAACCCTGGGATAGGGCCATGTTGAGTGTGGCCGAAGGATGAGCGCTAGACGAGCCGAAGCTAGAGAACTCGGGGAAGCCATCTTTGGTGTGGCGCGATGAGCGCTCAGCAGGACTCGGGAGGAGCCCAGGTCTATCCGCAGAGGAGACCACCCCCTTCCCTTTGACGCTAATTGGGCCTTCTGGCTGAGCGGTTCACCCCCGGGCCAAAACACGCTGAGGACTTGACAAGGAAGAACCCGGAATCCGGGAACCGGCAGTTTTCTGAGAGTTGAGGATGCTTCAGCAATGATCGGAATAAATCGTCACTCTAGGCAGTCCAGAGTAACCGCAGCTCTGCAGCTGCTGCAGCTGCTCGCTGCTGTCACTGTGGCCATCTCATTGGCCAGGGTTTACAGTTCTGTTTAGCACGCACGCTGATGGCTTAAACTGATTCCAAAGCAAATAAAACTACGTTTCCTTTCCATTCGGTGTTGTGATTTGAGAAGCCCTCTGGGGTCAATATTTTTTCTCTTAGCTTTGTCTTTTCCCAGCCTCCGCTTGGTGAATTCTATCATCTGTCAAGACTTTAAAGGACAGCTTTTCTGCAAATATTGCCACCTTCCGTGCTCACGGAAACTAAGCTCTTCACCTTCTAGGCTCCGATAGTTACTTTGCCTAGGAGTTATTTCTCATCTAAAGTACAATGAGTGTCTTAAAGTCTTTTTCTATATATACCCAATAGGGCCTACCTAGCACAGTAACTAGAACACTGTAGATGTTCAATAAATGTTCTTTACCTTGACCATATCAATAAAACCAGACGACAATAACCGATCCTCTCCGTAAGGCAGCAGGAACTACATGGATGTACAAAAGTCCAGCACACATGTAAATGTATACCCTCTCCCTGAGAAGAGGCACTGAAGCAAAGATTAGAATTGTGGATATCCCGAGTATGCAAGCAGTAGCAAGAAAAAGATTTGAAAAGTGGAACTGTGGTAGGGAGATGGATTAGCAGGTAAAGGGATTTGCCACCACGCCCAGCAATCTGAGTTTGATCCCCGAGCCCAGAATGTCTGAGTTTGATCCCCAAACCCAGAATGGTGAACCAAGAGAACAGATTCCTGCAAGCTGTCCTCTGACCTCCACAGGCGAGCCGCCACGCATGCAGTGCACGAGAAGATAGTTATGATTACATACATACATACATACATACATACATGTAATAAGAAGAAAAATGAAATTAACCTTTTCCCAGACTTTAAAGAATGTATCCAATCACCTTATTTAGAAATTATACTTAATAAAATTCCTTTATAAAAGGAAGAAATGGGTTCTAAAACACTATTTGCCCAATATTATAGCAACGATCAATAGGAGATAAAGAATCTCATTTACTCCAAAGCTAACTGATACTTTCCCACCTCCCACATTACCTCCTGGAAATGAGGTTTGTGTTAGTGTCAGCAGCATTGGTCTGCCTGCTCTCTCTCTGCCCCCCACCCTTTCTCTTTCTGGCAAGATCCTGTTGGATGGATAGCCCAGGTTGGCCTGGAATTCACAGTCCTCCTGCCTTAGCCTCCTGAGTGATAGGCTCACAGACCTGCAAGACCATGCCTAGATAATCTCTCTTCTTTTTGATATTCTGTGATTTTTTATTCCCTCAAGAGTATTGGCTTTCAAGTGTATCAAAGTTTCCTCTTACAGTTTTGTGGGACAACATCGTCTGTACACCAAGATCATAAGATCATGAACTCTGTAGTCACAAAGGTCTGGACTTGGAGCCTGGTGGAACTATGTATTCATTGTGTAACTTTGGTCTAGGTATTCATCCTAAGTCAGGGTTTCTGTTGCTGTGGTGGAACATCATGACCAAAGCAACTGGAGGAGGAGAGGGCTTATTTGGCTCACACTTCCATATCACTGTCATCACTGGAGGAAATCAGGACAGTGTGAGACTTAAGAGTATTCTGGTACAGGGCTGGGCAGGTGCCTAGAACCCCAAGACTCTGCGTGAGAACCGACAGGAGTTCAGCGCACCCCAAGAACCCAGGGTCCTGAAAAGCAGTCTAGTCTCCATAGAATTACATTGTTCAGTCACGTAGGCCATTACAGCCCCTTCCAAAGTGCACAGGTAGAGGGTGTGACTATAGGCCTCAGGCCCTAGGGATTTACATACTAATGAAAGCCAGAGGGTGGAGCAAATTAAGCATGCCTCCCCAGATCCTCCCCCAATCCTTCCCCTTTCCCCCTCCCTATTTAACTCAGGACTGGCCTGACTTTTACGGGGGTACTTCCAGATTCATCCACCATCCGCCATGACAATAAACCCTTTTGGAACCAAGGACTTCCTCGTGTCATTGGGGCCTGCCGCCGCCAAAGCCTCCAGGCCTCTGGAACCATAAACGTTCCTCATTCATGTGGGGCCCGCAGCGTGGAAACCCACTGGGACACCCCACAGGACAGGAACTGAAACAGGGCAGGAACCAGTAGGAAGGAACTGATGCAGAGGCCATGGAAGGGTACTGCTTACTGGCTTGCTCAAAATGGCTCGCCCAGTCTGCTTTCTTATAGAACAGTGGTTCTCAGTCTGTGGGTTATGACCCCTTTGGGGGGGTCACATATCAGATATCCTGCATGTTATATATTTATATTTTGATTCATTACAGTTATGAAGTAACAAATAACTTTATGATTGGGGATCACGACAACATGAGGAGCTATATATACTGAAGGGTCCTGGCATTAGGAAGGTTGAGAACCAGTGCTATATAAGGACATGGAAGGAGGAGGATTTTACTATTTACTCCTGCCTTGCAAGCAAGTTCCTTTCTTCCCTGGCCTTAGAGCTTACTTCTTTGGAATTCTACTGTTTATGGAAGACAAGCTGAGCCATCCAGCCTGACAGAGCAGCTTCTGGATTCTTGAGCTTTCCATTCATAGTCTACCATTGTTGGATTTGTTGAACCATAGCTTGTAAGTGATTCTAATAAACCTCCTTATGTGTGTGTGTGTACATGTATGTGCATGTATACATATATATGTGTGTGTGTGTATGTATGTGTATATAAAGAGATTCATTCTATAAATTCTGCTACCCTAGAGAACCCTGAGTAATACAAGCTGAATCTTATGGAAGCATTTTCTCAGTTGAGTTTCCCTCCTTTCAGATGACTCTTAAGTCCAGTTGACATAAAATTAGCTATGACAGTATTCCATTTTATTTTTTAAATGTTTCATTGAAAATATTTGAATAGGCAATCAATATGTTTAAGTAGTTGATCTCTCTTGAACGAAAATTTGAATGAATTTGATATATTCTTTCTTGAACATGATATATCTGATATTAATTCTAGGCAATAAATTGACAAGTGGAGAGACATATCCTTAGTAATATAATGAGTTTTTCACTCTTTGTATTAACTGTACAAAATGATGCATGAGAATCATCTCGGGATGTTGCTAAGAACATGTCAATCTTGGAGACCAAATCCGATCTGTAATCATCAACTTTTCTTGTGTGTGTGTGTTGGGGGTGGGGAATTATTGAGACAGGGTCTCATGTAGCTGAGGCCAGCCTTGAACCTCTGATCCTCCCAACTCTACTTCCCAAGTACTAGAATTGCAGGTATGTGCTACCATGCTTGGCTACCTTTTATCTTTTTTTTTTTAATTATAGTGTTGCTTGTTAGTGTGTTGAGGCAGGACATGCACACACCTCAAGATAACTTTGTGGAGTCCATTCTCTCCGTCTCCCTTGACATGGCTATTGGAGATTGAATTCAGGTTGCTAGGCTTATGTAGTACGTGCCTTCACCTGCAGAGCCTTATTAACAGCCCCTAGCTACATTTTCAACAATAAACTTGACCAATTGAAATAATAAATTTCCATCCCATTTTAATCAAAACACAGAAGTACATTTACTGATTCCTTTGCTTGGTTTTTCCTTTTTCTAGATTTAACCTTTTTATTTACTCTTGAGCTTTTTCTTTTTTAATTTTACTTATTCTTAAAATTGAGGACCCTCATATAAACTCACAGTTACCAGATTGTTTTTAAAGGCCAACAATATACATTGAAGAAAAGACAGCATCTTCAACAAATGGTTCTGGCCAAGCTGGGTAGCTATATATAGAAGAATGAAACTAGATCCTCTTCTCTCACTCTCCAAAAAACTTAACTCCAAATGGACCAAGGATGTCACATACAGCCTGATACCCAGGGTCTGGAGAGATGGGTCAGAGGTTAAGAGCACTAGCTGTTCTTCTAGAGGACTCGAGATCAATTCTCAACATCTATATGGTGGTTCACAACCAACTGTAACTCTTCAGTTCCAGGGGATCTGATGTCCTCTTCTGTCTTCTGTGTCACAGACAAACAGAAACACACACACACACTTCAAATAAATGTAATAAAGATTTTAAAAGCTTGGCAGACCTTTAATCCCAACACTTGGGAGATAGAGGCAGATGGATCTCTGAATTCAAGACCAACTTAGTCTACAGAGCAAGTTCTAGGACAGCCAGGGCTACACAGAGAAACCCTGTCTCAAACAAAAAAAAAACAAACAAAGACCTGATACCACCTATGAACTTATAGGCACGTG